CATTTTCTCAAACACTTGGTGACATAAAGCTTCATGGTCCTTATTAATGGTGTTTCTACACCCAACAAGCCATTCTCTTGATCCTAGATAAATTCTAAAGTCTCAAATGGTTATAATCAACATTATTCTTCATCACCCATAAGGTAAACAACACTCTTAACCAATAATCAACACTCAACACCCTAACCCTATAATCGTTCATGCTTTTCTATCAAACCCATCAACTCATATCTCATGCACTAGGGTTTATAATCATCAAACCAATGCTAGAATCAATTAGAGGGTGAAGATATTACCTTTTTGACGTTCAATCTCCTTGAATTCGAGTTCTAGGGTTCCTTCTCTCAATAACGATGTCCCAATCGAATATCTAATGATATGGAGGGTTTACCCATGTTAATAAGATGTTGGGAAATTGAAATTAACTTAGAATCACCATTAGAACTTACCTTGAATGGTGGAAGGACCCTTAAGGAGTTAGGTTTTTTAGAGTTTCCCTTTCTAGAGCAAGTTTTTATGTTATGGGACTGTGGGGGACGAAATATAGCTTTAAAACGACCCCCCACGCGCGAGTTCGCGCACCTGGAGGCTTGTTCGCGCGAGTGTTCGCGCTCAACAGCAGTAACACTGCCTCCCACGCGCGAGTTCGCGCACCTGGAGGCTTGCTCGCGCGAGTGTTCGCGCATACGCGTACTGTTCCGGAAAACGCACATAACTTTTTGCACAGAGATCCGTTCGGGCTCCATAATATATTGTTGGAAAATATTTCAAAGGCCTACAACTTTCTTGCTTGGAGTTTTCCCCAATTCCTTACACATTTTCACTAAAACTTTATGGAAGACAGACCTTCTGCAACTTAGTCGATTTTTGTCAAATCTTATGCACCTCTCTTTCCATTTTGATTTTTGAAACAACTATTTTACCCATAATCATCCCGATGGGACTTCACATGTCCAAAATATAACCCTACTACTCCTTTAGCTCATTCATACCTAGGTCGAATTTACGGGGTGTTACACAACTTCTCAAGGTCACCAAGTTCATCCACCTCTCTCATGATTCCTACCCAACAACAAATTATTCCCATTGCAGAAATTCAGTTACAAACTTCTGTAAGTGTGTAGATATCTAAATGTTTGTAGTTTACTTATTTATCCCGGATGAACATGTGATTTTCTTTTTGTTGCCAGACTGGGATTTTTTATGTCGAGGCCGAAATATCAATATCAAGTGACTTGCAAAAGTTCTGTGTGCTTGAATGCTCGGGTTGCAAACAGAAGTTGCGAACTAAGGAAAGAAGAGATTTTGACTGCACCAAGTGTAAACGACGGACAACTTTAGTTCCTCGGTATTCGCTTTGCCATATAATTTTCTTTTTAGAAGTAAAAATAATTTGTCAGTTACTTAGTGTTGTAGTTCCATACAACACAATTAGCAGAAGTGGTTGCTGATAATAAAGTGTACATATTTGATTAACAACTGAACTTCTCCCTTCTACCCCTTAACTACATAATGAAATTCCAGAAAACTTAATGTAAGAAATAAATAAAGTATATCTCTTTTGAATAATAAATTTTAGTCACCTGTAAATCATCAGTTAAAATGAGCATCAAACTCTTCCATTATAGTTGCATCAGATAAACAGGACATAACAACTTCCAAGTTATTGCAAGAATTTATACCTGCATCTGAATTAATACATCTTTGCAACATGTAAACCATCTTTGGTTGCAGGTGTATGTTTCAGATTGATCTTATTGATGGTAGCGGTTCAACAACTGCTATGATTTCCGGTGATGACGCTGAAAAGATGCTCTCAATGACAGCAGAAGACATATTTGACACAACCTGTGTCAAGGTATAAACTTATACAAATTATTTACTTCTGTTACTGCACTTTATACATGTTCTTAGTCTATCATTTCTAGCGAAGTTATACGAGTCAGTATTGAATTCTTTTTGCATGCAGAATATTATCTATATGTACTTTTATATTACTTTCGCTCATCTTTGTTTTATCCGGCACTTTAAATCTGAAAATTGACTTTCTTCATTTTCAGAAACAACTCTTGTCCATTAACCATGTCCTGGACACATTTTCAGACAGAATCTTTCGAATTCAATTAAGAAAATCATCTTGGAAAAGTTCTGACTTTGTGCATACAAGTCTATCAGTTCTGTCCTACGTAGAAAAGGAACATATCTTTGCACCAATAATTAGCGAGAGAAGCCAAAAAAAGGTAAAGCATCAAAGTACAAATGAGATAGAAATGGAAACATCAGATGTGATATCTAAATATTCAAGCGCAAGGCTGAAATTACAACCACCAACACCATCAAAAAAAGTGTAAAGGTGAGACTTTTTAAGTATTTATAGTTGAGATTGTCTTCTTTCCTCTGACTTCTCAATCAATATAATTATAATATAATGCAGTTTGATTTATTTATTTCTTTATTACAATCCGGATTGCCTTTCTTACGCGCCAATTATGATTCCAACTGCAGGAAGTATTGACCTTTTTTGTGATCTTTTGCTACTGTAAAAGAAAACCTTTTCTGGGCTCTTATATGAATGGTACAATCTCACTCCCCCTTCGCTACAAAGGAATTTTGTCGTGGTGGTGATGGAACATTTGGCCGCCTCAATGTTCCACAAATACAGGTAAAGCATGCACCATTTTTTTAAAGTCACTTCAAACTAATTTTTCTTTAACCACATGAGATTAATTAACCTTAGTAGATATTTGCATGAATTAAAATTTTATGTTCGTCTCGGTTTTCAATATTTCAGTGGTGTCTCTTTGGTCTTTTTATAATTGAGAACATGGGAATTTGATTATGTAATTTTTAGTTTTTGCATTGCTTTCACATACATTGCAGTAATAATAATAAAGATACTAATATATGTGATTGTCCTAAAGTATGAATTGAAAAATAGAATTTATATATCATGGCTCTAAATATGAGACATAGCTCCACATAAGCACACAAAAGGAACATTTACTTATTCGTACCATCATAGATAAAGAAAGATTACATCACTGCTCAAATAACTCTTATCACAATGTGGTACAGATCGGCAACTTCCATAAAACTTTTTTGAAAGCCAAAAGTTATCATAATAAGCAACGTGTGTTTAGCTATTTGCTAATGTCATATTATACCCTTTTACGTGGAATTTATTATTTTTGGTTGAATAAGGACATGGACATCATGAAACCTGACAAGAAATTTTTTTCCATAAATTATTTGCTGCCTTCTCCGAATCACCTGATGATAAACCATCCGTAGCTTTGTGTTTGCAATAAGTGCAATCGAGTCTACCCTTTCTTGATCTTCTTTCTTTTAACTATATGCTACAAATTCCCACCATACATTCACACACACTGAAGTTTGTACTTATATTGATATGAAAATATAGGGAGCATAATTGAATGTCAAATATACAGATTAGAGTTTTTGGATATGTTATTATTGATACTATAGTATTACTTTCCGGAGCTGCTTGAGTTCTATGCACGTCTACTTTATTACTCACTAATATATTTTTTTGTGCTATACATGATTTCATTTTCTTTCCCTCATTGGAGTTTACCTACCTTTTTCAGGTGCTGCAAAATCGCCCTATGTTCTGGTTTTTGGAACGAAAAAGATTGGCTACTAAGGTTGGGAACATAGCCCCAACACATGATGCACTGAAGATACAAACTGTGTATTTTTTTTTGGTGTATGGTGTATAAAATATTTAAATGTGGATGGTTCCACTAGACAGTGTACTTATGGTATATAAAAGGATGTAGTTAAGCACATATTGTAGTGCTCTTGTGCTAAGTATACTTATGCTAAATCAGTTTACAATTATATGCATGTCGTTGAGTTAGATACTATACAAGTTATAATGAAGAGTAAATATTACAGAAGCCATTCCCATGCTAGGCCCGTGCTCTAGCACGGGCTTCACCTTCTAGTTACTACTATATATAAAGGACTAAGGTGTACGAACACACCTTATACAAATTGTACGAAAAGCTATTTGGATTGTACAGTAAGCTTGTACTTGTTTCAGTGGTACTTGGTTTATTTTCCCTCTTTCTCTTAACACGTGTACTCATATTTTTCTCCCGGCAAACACGTGTACCATACGAAACCCTTCTGTAATGCTCAAAACTCATAATCAATTAGGCCCACCTGCTTCAATTTCTCCTTCACTGCATTGAAGTGTTTCTACTCTCTTCTTCTTGTGAGTTTTGCAACTATTTCTTTCTTTTTCACTCTTCTAATTAATGTTGACTGCAATGACTCTTTCTTCTTCTACTTCAGATTTTGCTTCTATTTCTTTGGTCTTTCACTCTATGAAATTGTGAGCGAGATTTTCCTGAAATTTTTCTCTGTTTCATGCACTTTATTTTGTTGTTCGTTGGTAATCACAGTTTGTTGGGTATTGTTGATATTTTCTATTCATGGTAGTAAAACCCCCCTTTTCTCTTTTATTCTTCCAGAGCAATATCCCATCTCTTTAATTTCTCTATGATGGTTGTGATGGTGGTCTGCTCTAATTTATCTATCAATTTTTGGGTTTGCATATCTCTAAAAGTTAGGTTTTTATATATAGTTGTGGATATCGGTTTGTTTCCTGCTCTTTTGGTGGGTGTATGTTCGATTTTTTCTTGGGTTGTTTATTGTTGGATTTTCAACTTGCATGTTCATATTTTGATTTGATTTGCATGTTTGTAAGTTGACACCCGGGTGTATAATTTGGAATATTAGATGAATACAATTTTTTTTTTCTTAAAATGAAACTTAACCTCAAAAGTAATTACTACTACAAGAACTTTACATGATTCTAATTTATGAATGAAGCTCAAACCAATTTTTACTCATTTAAAGGGACCAATTTCCTGCTTGCAAAAGGTTATATAATAATAACCCCTTACTGCTTGATCTTAATTGGTTATTTTATTTCCCCTTTTTCTTCTTATCACGTGACGAACACTGGATCTAGCAATGATACAGAAAGTAGTAAAAGTTGTACACGGTTTCTACTGAATCTTCATGACACGTGTACTTTAAGCAAACACGTGTACTTGAAATATAGTGTAACTCTTTCCTCTCACTGAACTTCTTCACTAATTTACCCGTCTCTTCGCCGCCTTCTCTGCTTCTCTTCTGTCTCTCTCTCACTGAACTCCTTTACCAGTTTATTGTCTTCTAACTTGATCCCTTTCTTTGTTCGGTGATCTTTCCAATGGAGTTTTTGCAGTGTTTTAGTGAGTATTTTGTCTTTGGTATTCACCTTTATTTTTGGCCCTTTTTCATGTTGTTATCTCTGTCTTTTCTTTGGTGCTAAAATTTGTTGCTTTGTGTTGTTTAATTATCATCCGGAAGTTCTGTCTCGTGCAGCTACAGATACACTCCAAAATGCAAAAAGCATGAAAATGGAGTAGAGAACATTTCTAAATTCTCCTAAATTTTCCTCTAACCTTTCGTGGTGAGCTGTAATTCTTTCATTCTACTCCTTCTCTATACACTTTCCTTTTTAGTCTATACACTTTCCTTTTTAGTCTGTTCCAAAACAAATGACACATTTCTAAATTTGGAAATAATTCAACTTTAAACTCTTCATTTTACCCTTTTTGTCCTTAATGAGAAGCTTTTATAGCCACACAAATGGCATGACCCCACAAACCTTTTACCCCTTAACCTCTTAAGACCACAAGCTTTAAAAGTCTTCTTCTTTTTTCTTAAACTCCGTGCCGAGTTAAACTACCTCAAATAATATGAAACGGAGGGAGTATCTTTTATATACTATTGATTAAAAATCTTCATTTACTATAAATTTTTGTTTGATTTGTGCTCTATTTGTTTAATTCAATGTATAAGATTTTGGATTCTTGATTTAAATGTATTCTTCCTCTTTTATCAAATTTCTTTTGGGTGAATTCTGAGTAACCATGTGGTTATTTTTGTTCAAACGCATTAAATTTTCTTCCCAGGTGCACAAATTGCTACACACTACGCACATTGAATTGCCATCTGGATAAAAAAGCCTAAAAAGGAAAGAACTTTGATGCAGTTAAGGTATTTAACGATATGCCTGAAACAATTGAATAATTTCCTATTCTATTTCTTTTCCGGTAGGTGGTTTATATCATAAACAGATCTCCTTATAACACAAATATAGGACTCTTAAAATATAATTTGCAACTATACCTATGACAGTGAAAAATGCAATGTATCCTTTATTGGGGAAGTTTCCAAATATTTGAATATAAAAATAGAGCTTTTCCAGAAAAGAAAATGAATACAAATAATTCTCTGTCTGGAGATGTATTTACATTAAGGTGTAGATTATTAATTTCATTGATTTTCTCTTTGTTTCACTTGATATCTAGGGAAGTAAAATGTGTATACAGACAATCCTTGTATTGTGTTTGTCAACTTAATGGTGACTAAATCCAGTACTTGTGATATCTAAGCTCTTTGCTTGCACCTCTATTTTCATGGCATAAATAATATATGATTTTTTGTTCTGATTGTTCTCGTGATATGTGGCTTCTAAAGCTAAGTAGTTTTATTAAATATTGTTAATGCGGGAGATGGACTCACTGGCTCGCTCTGCATTTTATGCAGCATGAATAATAAGTTGTGCTGTCTTCAAAAGCATGGTCTGCTTGATAGTGAACTGCAGACAGCTCATTTTAAGAGGTAAGATAATGGCTTAAACTAAAGTTGTTCCTGATTATAGATAGCGATAGTCATGATACTGATAGTCATAGTATTTCGTTTACTGGAATTACCATATTTATGGTATATAAAAGGAGTGGGTGGTACCTTTATGGGTACATTAGTGTATTATTCATAAGGAAATTAAAATCGCTAGAATAAGACAACATAATAACTTGAGCGAACTTCATCAGATAGATGATGTTTTCTTAGTGTTTAAGTAATAATGTTGTCATCTCTTCTCCGCAATCTCAACCAAAATTCCTTATGGAACCATATGTTTTTCATATTTTTCTGTCAAGTAGCGGTCTGATTTTATCGCGACAAGTTCTGCACGAATTGTTTGTGGGCTAGCAGTGTTTTGTTTGACCTGTAATTGCAGAATCTATCGAGTATTTTTATACTTCTTGCCTTTCTAGAAGTTGATAAAAACTTTAAAAGGGTATTAATATTTGGTACCCGTCATGATGTCGAATGTTAGTTATGGTGATACCAAGCAACCAATAAAGAACAAGTGAGGTGAATAGGAATTGAGGTTTGGTTAGATAGTAATTTTAATCCTTCCATCCATTATAAAATATTGAAAATTCTGATTAGCTAATCATACATGATATTTTGAATATAGTCATCCTTTCAGGAGCACCTTGAATGATATTTAGGAACTTGTAAAATTTTAAATATGTTCACCAATTGAAAAATTAAATATTAAATTTACAAGATAATAAGTAGGATTCAACGTAATAAGTTTGCTAAAAGAAATGGGGATGCGACTTCTATTGTAGTTTAAAAGCGATTTTTTCCAATAGCTAGATTGTGTTGTTTGTGTGGTTGTACTTCTAGGCTATGGGTGTCCAACGGGACGGGACGGGACGATTTTAACGGGACGGAACGGGACGGGACGAGATTTAGGCGGGACGGTGGCGGGACGGGACGAAACGGGACGGGACAAACGGGACGAAACGGTCGTCCCGTCCCGTCCCGCCAACCAAACGGGACGGGACGGGACGGGACGGGACGGGACGGGACGGGTTCGTGGGCCTTAAGTGTATTTTTTTTTTAAAAAAATTCTAGTTTTTTGAAAATTACTATATTTTTAAAGTTTGCAACGGCTAGATTTTTGACTTATTTAATAAACTTAAATATTACTATGTTAGTATGTTAAAAAGAAAATTAGAAAACTAAGTAAAGAATTATAAAATATTAAAACAAAAGACTTGTAATGAAATAATCTAGTAAATATAAATTTATAATAGAGTTATAATTTATTTAATATAATTTCAAAGTATTAACTATTAAGTAACACCGACAAATCATAAAAATAATTCATCTCTTAGAGCCATTTATTTTATTAATAGAACTTTCAAATCTCAAATACAAATACAATTCTTTTGAAGAGCACCTAATCTACGCAGCCACCTTCTAGGAAGGGTTCTGTTTGAACTAGGCCTCTTAGTAGCCAATTACAAATTATCATACTAATATTTGTAAGCTCCTATATAGCTTCTTTGTAACTTATCAATAATATCTCTTGGACATTCTACTGGAATTGGCAATGTTGATTGATGTTCCATGAGCTCCATGCCGTCATCGCTCCCAGTGGTAAGTATCTCATTGTATTCTTCTTCTTCCCTAGTGGTTAGTTTTTCAAAACCAAGATTTCTTCTTTCTGAATTAATCCAATCTCTGAATAAGACGGAAATCTCTAGACTGTCCTCCGCTAATGAATGTCTATGATCTCCAATTTGAAATCTTGCCGCGCTAAAAGCACTCTCCGATGCTACTGATGATGCTTGAATGCCAGGATATCTCGGGCAATAATTGAAAGTGTTGGAAAAGCCTTGCCACGCTCCCTCCACCATGACAAAAGTTGTTCCTTGCCTTCTTCGTNGAGGTAAGATAATGGACTTAAACTAAAGTTGTTCCTGATTATAGATAGCGATAGTCATGATACTGATAGTCATAGTATTTCGTTTACTGGAATTACCATATTTATGGTATATAAAAGGAGTGGGTGGTACCTTTATGGGTACATTGGTGTATTATTCATAAGGAAATTAAAATCGCTAGAATAAGACAACATAATAACTTGAGCGAACTTCATCAGATAGATGATGTTTTCTTAGTGTTTAAGTAATAATGTTGTCATCTCTTCTCCGCAATCTCAACCAAAATTCCTTATGGAACCATATGTTTTTCATATTTTTCTGTCAAGTAGCGGTCTGATTTTATCGCGACAAGTTCTGCACGAATTGTTTGTGGGCTAGCAGTGTTTTGTTTGACCTGTAATTGCAGAATCTATCGAGTATTTTTATACTTCTTGCCTTTCTAGAAGTTGATAAAAACTTTAAAAGGGTATTAATATTTGGTACCCGTCACGATGTCGAATGTTAGCTATGGTGATACCAAGCAACCAATAAAGAACAAGTGAGGTGAATAGGAATTGAGGTTTGGTTAGATAGTAATTTTAATCCTTCCATCCATTATAAAATATTGAAAATTCTGATTAGCTAATTCTCACTGCTGGATTATTCATTGTCAATTTGATTACAAGTGTCATTATTTTCTTGGAATTGTGTTGATATATTTTACTTGATTGTATTTAGAGTATCTGGAGCACATGAAAAAGCAGCATCAGACTGGAAATAGAGTAAGCCTTTTCAGAACTAATATTTACCCGAACTTTCTATGGTAATAGTGCTTTACAATTTTTTAATCTGTACAATATAATAGCACTTCATTAATAACACTCCTTAAGAAGAATGTTGTACTATTTTGGCAAAATGCCTTAGTACCCCCTAAACTTGTCAGAATTATTAATTTTCTCTCCAAACTATCTCTGGTTCGAATTACCCCCACTACACTAGAATAAGTGAATTTAAAAACCCCCGAGTCTCCTACACCTAGTTAAGTGTATACACGCGCGGTACATGTGGACAATTTGTACTCCACGAAGGCAAATAAAATGAGTATTAAATTTTAATATTAATAACTAAAGAAAAAAAAAGGGGAAAAATAAAGAAAAGGTAAAAGGCAGCAACGTTAGAAGTAAAACATTTGCCCTTTCATTTTTATGAACACCCTTCTCTCTCTATTGAAAAATTTCTCAAATGCCTCTTCCAATGCCTCTTCAATAGAGTAGAATAAGACTTCAATTGTGGTGTATTTCTGATCATTTGTGGTTTCTTCTCCGTTCATCAAGCTTTTTCAGTGGTCTTCTCCAACTATTTCAAACAGACAAAACCAAAAGGTTAGGGAATTCAAGCTTTACTTTCCGATTAGGGTTTTGTAATTTATAACAGAGAACAATATCGATTTGCTTTCTATCTTCTATTTTGTTGAGTTAAGGCTTTCAAAATTTAATTTTTTATGTGTAAAATCAGTGATTTTGTGCATGCATATAGCGTAGGGTTTTCTGTAATAACTTACAAAATTTAGGGTTTTTTTTATTTTTATATTTTAGAATTGTCTGAATGTATGTTATTCGGGTTATTTTAGTTATTTTGAATGTATTGCAAGAATTCTTTTGCTATTTTAGTTTAGCTCACTGTTGGTGGATTATTTTATGTAAAAGTGAGTCTTTTTCTGTATTTTATTTGTATCTAGCATTTCTTTAATATGTTACAACATTGTACTATTAATTTTAAAAGTTAAATATTGATGAATTCTGTATATGGTTGTAGGTTGTCCCATGGCTTCTAAGTACTTTAATTTTATATGGAAAATTGGTGTAATGTTGGTAAGTGAAGTAGGGCCTGTTTTTGTTGGAGGTAGGATTGAGTATTCCTTCAATATTGATTCTGATCACTTATCTATCCCTGAATTAGTAGATATTGCAAAGGATTTTGGGGTTACTAAATTGGGAACCACTTATATTGCACCTTCTAAGGGTGGCAAATTGGTAAAACTAGAGAAAGACAAGAATTTGTTAGACCTTGGAGTATTGTTGAATGATGGGGACACAATAGATATATTTATCTGCAATGACTCTAATTTTGAGGATGTGGGGCATGTTGGCCAACATGTGAATGTTGAAAAGGGAGGTGGTAGTCAATTAACTAATATAAATGGGGGCAGCAGGGAATCTGAGCCTTTATTTATTCCACACCCACCAATAATTGCACCAGCTCCAACTATAGATCTAGATCTAGAGTTTCCTTCTTCTCTAAATACTTCTGAAAGGGCTGGATAAAATATAAGAGAGGAAGTAGATGCTGCCAGTGGTGATTTCCAGAGAGAAGGTTCTGCTAGTGGAGATCTAAATAATTCCAGTACTTCCTCTGAAGAAGATGCAGGCACTGAAGAAGAATTTGAACTTTCTGATGATTATGGAAGTGATGTCCATGAAGAACTTAGGGTTGTGAAACAAGATCTAAAGGCTTACAAAGTAAAAAAAGGGAAAAAAAGTAGGAAAGAAAGACCTGATGGGTTTCTAGGTGAGGTTGGATTGGATGAAGGTTATGATGATATTGATAAAGAAAGAAAAAATCTGAAGGATAAATTGGGAGGTGATGATGATGAGCCATATTACGACTCATCAGAGGCTGACAGCTTTGCTAGTGAATCTGAAGGTGAAGCTGTCAGTGATGATGAAGTAGTAGAAGAAAACTTGAGGGTAAGGAGAAAGAGTAACGGAGTAGTATATGATCCTTCTTGTGAGAAAGTTATTTGGGAGATTAAGTATTTGAAAATGTGAAAGAGATCAGAGAGGCTTTGACCAAGTATGCTGTAAAGAAAGGGGTTCAACTAGACAAATATAAGAATGAGCCAAGTAGAGTTAGGGTGAAGTGCAAAGATGGTTGTCCTTGGATGATATATGCTAGCAAGGAAGGTAGGAGTTCAAATTTCACAGTCAAGACATATAATCCTAGACATAAATGCCATAAGACCAACATCAACTTTCTTTGCAATTCAAAATATTTAGCTAATCATTATAAAGAGAGGATTATTTCACAACCTACCATTAAAGGATGGGAAATACAAGATCTTGTTAGGGAGGACTTTGGTGTGTATGTGGGTAAGGCTATTTGTTTAAAGACAAGAAAAATTGTTTTGAAAGAAGTCATGGGAGATCATATTGCTGAGTTTGGTAGACTTTTTGACTATAGAGATGTGCTTCTACAAACAAATCCTGGTAGCACATGTATAGTTAAGGTAGCTGATTTAGAAGATGGTAAGAAAGAGTTTATAAGCTTCTATATATGCTTTGCTGCTATGAAGAGGGGATTCTTGGAGGGATGCAGAAAGTGTATAGGACTGGATGGCTGATTTTTGAAGGGGATATACAAAGGACAATTATTAGTTGCAGTTGCTAAAGATGGAAACAATCAAATGTTTCCCATAGCATGGGCCGTTATTGGGACTGAAAATAAGGAAACATGGACATGGTTTATGAGGATATTGCAAGAGGACTTACAGCTTGGAGATGGAAATGAGATCACTATTATCAGTGATATGCAAAAGGTATGATACCATACTGTTATTTATTGCTTTTTACTGTTTCTATTGTTATTTATTATTTTCTTTTGTTTTTCAGGGTTTGGTTAGTGCTGCTGAAGAAGTATTTCCAGCTTGTGAGCACAGAATGTGTGCAAGACATATTCTGTCAAACTGGTCAAAGAAATGGAGGGGAATTGAGAGAAGGAAGAAGTTTTGGAGTTGTGCTAGAGCAACATATGAGGCCGAATTGAAAAAGAGGCTAGATGAATTAAATACATTGGGTCACAATATTGTTGAAGATCTTATTTCATACAACAAAGAAAGATGGTGCAAAGTCTACTTCAAAGAATTCTCCAAATGTGACAGTGTGGACAATAATATATCGGAAAGCTTTAATGCCTGGATATTGGGAGCTAGACATAAGACAATTGTGTCAATGCTAGAAGAAATTAGAGTCAAGGTCATGATAAGGATACCTAAGATGAGGGACTTTGCTGAAACTTGGGTGGATGAGATATCTCCAATGGCACTGAAGAACTTCAACACTAATGTGGAGAAGTCAATGAAGTGTAAGATTCATTGGAATGGAGAACATGGCTTTGAAATTAAGGAAGGTATAGCTACGTTTATTGTTCACCTGAAAAGAGGATATTGTAGTTGCAGTTCATGGCAATTGAAAGGTATTCCTTGTGCATATGCCATAACAGCAATGCAGTTTAGAATGATTGATGCATCTGAGTCAATTGCATCATGGTAAAGAGACATATTTACGAGCTTATTCCAATTTCATACAACCTGTTCCCAATATAATAATGTGGCCAGCTACATCAAATCCAAAGATTGAGCCACCTACAGTTAGAAAAATGCCTGGCAGGCCAAAGAAGAATAGAAGAAAGGAGGAAGGAGAAATTAAAAGAGCTGAAAAGTTATCAAAACGGGGAATAACTATTACATGCTCGATTTGCAAGTCCATTAAACACAATAAAAGAAAATGTCCTTCAAGGCCTGAAGCAACATCAGCCACAAGAACAGCAGAGGTAAATTTTATATACCCCGCTTACCTTTAAATTATTGACACATTAGTATTTTAATTTGTTATATTGTTATATGTCAGTATAATGCTACCCAACAGTCATCTACTGGAAGTACAAGAAAGAGAAGTGTTGTTGACAGTCAACAAGAATCTACAAGCAAGGAAGGTGAAGCTAGAGCGAGCAGACGTAAGTACAAGAGTCCAAGAGTTGTGGGGCATGGTGTATTTGTATCTAAGACTGGTTATAGTTGTGTTAATGTAAGTGTTTTCCCAGTTTACCATCAATTTATTACTTTCATTGTCTTTTGAAGTTATATTTAAATTTTTTCTCATAATTACAGCAAGGTCTGCAAAGCAGCAGATTAGTTACCACACCTACAATGATAAATTCCGCAGAAGTTACAGGTGATATTGGGTATAAGACTAGCAAGTCTTTGAAGTGGAAAGGAAAGCCCGCTATTAGCCAAAGACAACTCCAAATGAAAAGTACTATGCATAGAGTCCAGAAAAAAGCAAAGGCTATTAAGATTCAAGCAAGATCTCAAACTGGAAAATCTCCGTCCAAAGAACCAACATAGCTATGTTCTATGATTAAGTTAGTTTTTTTGGTGTATGCTTAGTATGTAATCAGATGATTACAACTTTCTTTGTGGTAGTATTTTTGTGTAGCTTTTTTGGGTGAAACAACTCTTTTGTGATACTCGTAGTATTTTGTGTAGCTGTTCGATACTAGTAGTATTTTGTGTAGCTGTCAGATATGTTTGGTAAAATAGCTCTTTTGTATACTGTCAAGATTTTTGTTGCTATCCAGTTTTGTAAACAGCGTGTATCTATCTTACATATCTTCCCATTATCTGCAGCAACATGAAATAGCATTTTCATAGTTCTAACAGTAAACTTTTGTGAGGTATAGAGCAGTGACTAGTGCATATACTCCTGTTGCAGTTGGCGCAATTGTTACTGGAAGAATTCTTAAAGGAAGGTCTATTTGCTTCCTTTAACTAACAATACTCATACTATGGACAAATATGGCAAAATTGAAAGTCTAAGCGGGATTGTGGAAGCTGCTGCATTATTCCCATCAGAGAAGTTACAGCAGCATAAGCAGCCATATCTATTTCTAGTTATGCAAAGAACCTTGGCAAGAACCTTCAGATATCTATACAAGATTTTGTGAATGACATAAAATGATAGATTTGTGATACAAGATTTCTATTCATTCTACTATTTATCAAATACATAGATACCAATTAAAGTTAGATTAAATTGGACACCAACCAAAATACAACATCACATTGCATACTACACTAATACATAGACTAATCTTCAATGTTCTTCCCCACTTTAGCTCATGCTCTTGTTTATTTCTCTTCTTCAACAAACCCAAAATAACAATATTAGCTTGTTTTGGAAATTCCGGTTCATACCGCTCAATATTAGCTTGTTTTGGAAATTCCGGTTCATACCGCTCAAAAAAATTACAAGTCTTACAACCTTTAACCTGCACAAAAAGCACAACTATCAACTTTTTTAGTGAAAAAACCTAGAACAAACCCAACATAAATTATAATCAATTTAGACCTTCTAAACATTACTTTATCATACCTTATAGTTTTTACAACCAAAAAATCTTCTTCCCGGATTGTCATTTGACCATGAAATTTTTCAATGTGATGTATACCCACATTTACAAAGTGGGTTCATCTTCAATGTCTTGGAGAAAACTAGGATGAAAACCAAGAATATCACTAAGAACTTTAACAATTAAAGAAGAAAATCAAGAATATTACAAAAAGAAAGAGCAATAATCATGCTTCAATGGTGGAGCTTATAAAGAGGAAGAAGTGAAAGAATAGCCGTTGCTTAGGGCTTTTTAACCGTTAGGGCTGATTATGTGGCCATTTTTAACCAGCCTCACGCGCCATACACCATTTGAGATCACTTCTCGTGCCATGTGGCAGCTCGGGGGGTTTTTAAATTCACTTATTCTAGTGTAGGGGGGTAATTCGAACCAGAGATAGTTTGGGGAGGAAACTAATAATTCTCGACAAGTTTAAGGGGGTACTAAGGCATTTTGCCTACTATTTTTGGTATATGTTCCAATACTTTCCCAAATGCTACAATCCTAAATTGTGATGACCCAAAAGGTCATCACTTGCTTTAAATTAAAATCTGTGTTTTCGAGGCCTTGAAAACCTCATTTAGAGTCACCTCGATTTGCGTGCGCAGTCCGGGGGCGTAGCCGGAAAGCTTAAATATGAAAATCTGTGAAAAATGGTAAAATTTGGCTATAAAATGAGTTAATTTGACTTCGGTCAACGTTTTGGGTAAACGGACCCGGACTCATGATTTGACGGTCCTGGAGGGTCCGTAGGAAAATATGGGACTTGGCGTAAGCCCGAAATAGAATTCCGAGGTCCCGAGCCCGAGAAATAAATTTTTAAAGGAAATTGTTTTCTGAAATTGTTTAAGGAAATTTAAAATAAAATTTGATTAAAACATGATGGTATCGGGCCCGTATTTTGGTTCCGGCGCCCGGTATAGGTCTTATATATGATTTAAGATGTTTCTGTGAAATTTGATGAAAAACGGATATCATTTGACGTGATTCAGACCTTAAATGCAGATTTGATGTTTAAAGAAGTTTTGAGAAATTTCATTGATCTTGAGGTTTAATTCGATGTTCATGATGTTATTTTGGTGATTTGAGTACACGAATAAGTCGGTAGGATGTTTTTGAGGTTGTGTGTATATTTGGTTTGGAGCCCCGAGGGCTCGGGTGAGTTTTGGATAAGCCACGGGGTAAAATTTTGGACTTAAGGAATTGCAGGCCTGCAGACTTCGCATTTCCCAAACTTTCTTCGCAATTCCCTGGTTCGTATTTCCCAAATATTTTTCGCAATTACCAGGCTTGTTCGCATTTCCCAAACTCTCTTCGCAATTCCCAGGTTCGCATTTCCCAAACATTTTTCGCAATTCCCAGGCCTGTTCGCATTTCCCAAACTTTTTTCGCAATTCCCAGGTTCGCATTTCCCAGACTTTTTTCGCAATTCCCAAGCCAGCAGAGGTTGGTTCGCAATTGCGAACCCCTGTTCGCAATTCCCACATCCGAGACCTGCAATTTTATACTTAGCCGATTTAAACCCCATTTTTTCATATTCTCTCAAACACAAGCACACTTAGGCGATTTTTCAAGAATTCCTTCTTCTCCAAATCAATTGTAAGTCATTTTTAACTAACTTTCTTCAATTCTTAGCATTTTTTAACATGATTTCAACTTAAAATCAAGGATTTTCATGGGGGAAATTTGGTGTTTTGGGTAGAACCTAGGTTTTTCAAAAATTGGGGATTTGGACCTTGATTTGAGGTCCGATTTCAAAACAAATTATATATTTGGGTTCGTGGGGGAATGGGTAATTGGATTTTGGTTCGGACCTCGAGTTTTGACCATGTGGGCCCAGGGGCGATTTTTGACTTTTTGGGTAAAACTTTGGAAAATTCATTTTCATGCATTCAAATTGATTCATTTAGCGTTTATTGATGTAATTAAGTAACTTGTGACTAGATACGAGCGAATTGGTGGTGGAATCAAGGGGTAAAGCTATAATTGAATCGTGAATTATGTTCGAGGCATCGAGGTAAGTGTTTGGTCTAACCTTAGCTTGAGGGATTAGGAGTTGTGTCCTATTTGCTATTTGTTTCTTGTTGAGTACGACGTATAGGCATGGTGACGAGTATCTATACGTTGGTGTCAAGCATGACCGTGAGTCTTATATTATGATTTTCATGACTTCGTTGTATTATTCATGCCTTGGTGAAGATTTATATTTGTTGTGAAAATTGTGGAAAGAATTGTGACCTATGAACATTGAGGAGCGTTGGCTCCAGTTGTATAACGAATTGTGAAAGTATAAGTGATAATTGAAACTCTAGAGCATTGGTTCGAGTTGTGAAGTAAAAGTGAGAAGAGAAGAGATCATTATGTTGCCCCCTTGCCGGGCTATTGTTGAGTTGTGGTTCCCTTGTATTGTGTTCTTAATTGATATTACGGATACTTAGGGTGATGATTCTTTGTGTTAGGTAAGGATTATGGTTATAGCTGAGGTAGTTAGGTGTTGTAACAAGTTTGGGTATAGCTGAGGTAGTTAGGTGTTGTAACAAGTTTGGTTATAGCTGAGGTAGTCCTGCAGGCGTCCGCAGGCCTTGGCGTCTCCTTCTATCTTCTATTCCCTGTTTCATTTTCTTTATTTCAGAAACAGTGTACTGTTATTTCTTCAGACTTTATGTGTAGTGAATCTTAGACTGTCTGTGACACTGTAACACCAGGTTTTGGGTGGTTAAGGTTTGAGAAATTGTAATAGACATAGATTCCAGATATTTCATTATATTCTTCCGCTTAATTTAACTTTTCGCTGTTTATACGTTATCGCTTTGTGTTTGATAAAAAAAGGAATAAATGGATAATGAAGTAATTAGTTTTAAAGAATTGGCTTGCGTAGCTCACATTAGTAGGCGCCATCACGACCCCCGATGGTGGAAAATCCAGATCGTGACATAAATCTAATTAAACTGTGAGATAATAGTCATTTGTTTGTCGATACTGCACAAAAGTTTGTTCCCGTTTTCCTTTGCATGTACTTACTGTATTTTGCTGCTAATCTTGATTATTAGTCGAAATCAATAGCTCCAGTAATATGGAATATTTTTCTTTTATCTTCTTCTATTTTGTTGATCATATGTTTTGGACCAACCAAACTCCAAAGTGAACATTGTATAGGGTCAAATTTGACCGTCAGCATCTCTACGCCAGTGGGTACGCCCAGTGAGTGTACGCCGACTAACGTAACGGGTACGACTCGGACGTGGGGACAAAAGCGACATCGTTTAGGACTCAGTGTCTTACCTAGGGAGACGTTACCTGTCTTTGTAACTTTTTTGATTCTTTCGAGGAAGGTCTCTTATTATATAAAGGAGACCTTCACATTGTAAAGGGGAGGATTTCTGGAATAATACAACTCTCTCATTTTCTGGCTTTCTTTCTCTATCTCTACCTCAAACTATTTTAATGAAAGCAGAATTTTTCAACAATTAGCACAAGTACGCACTCGTCACCTCACGTACAAGGCATTTCAATTATCACAATATCGATCATAAGGGGAGAGTCCCCCACACAAGGTTAGGCAAGCCACTTACCTCGAATCGGCTCAATAATCAACCCGAAATCACGTTCTTGCCACGAGTATTCGACTCCAAATGGCCCAAATCTATTCAATTCAATTACATAATGTAAATAATACTTCAAGTAACTGATTCTACAAATAAACTCTAAGCTAATACGCGAAATTAGGTGAAATGACCAAAATGCCCCTCGGGCCCACGTCTCGGAATCGGGTAAAATTTACATTTCTAGAATCCTCACACTCTCACGAGTTCTTTTATATCAAATTATCCCAATCCGACATCAAAATCGTGGTCCAAATTCAATTGTTAGGTCTAAGAACTTTTTCAACTTTCCTTCAATTTTCCACCCCAAATTCGAATTTAAAGGATGAATTTAAGCTTAGATTCGAGGAAAATAATAAAAAAAACGAGTAAGAATCACTTACCCAAAGCACCCAGGTGAAAATCCCTCTCAAAATCGCCTATCCCGAGCTCCCCAAATTAATTTTTCCAAATTTTTAAACAAACCCTTGGTTCTGTCCCCTTTCCTGCCCAGTTATTCCGCTTCTGCGGAGAATCGACCGCATCTGTGAAAATCCTTAACGTCCCAAAAATCTGCTTCTGCGACACATTTTCCGCACCTGCGGTATCGCAGGTGCGATATCCTTC